AAATATATAAATATTACAGGTCAACCAGCTATGGTAAAATGTTAATAATGGTTGAGATTACAAGTATGTAATTGTTCTCTGCACTATTCTTTCAACTTTTTTGAACGCTTGGAATTTTTCATAAAAAAGTTTGGAAAAAAACACAGGCCAGGATATTTGCTATGTTTTGACTCTTTAAGACTTGCAAGACTACCCTTTGGAACACTGGACCCTGATTTCAGGTAGGGGCCACTAATTTAACTGTTACTTTATTTATTTATTTATTATTGTTTACTTTATATTAGCATACCAATTAGCCTCTGAAAGCTTCCCCCTTTCTCAAGGGGAGCTCTTTTTTTTTTTTTTTTTTACGATTTTATTTATTTATTTGACAGAGGTCACAGGTAGGCAGAGAGGCGGGCAGAGAGAGAGGGAGAAGCAGTCTCCCCGCAGAGCAGAGAGCCCGATGCGGGGCTCAATCCCAGGACCCCGGGATCATGACCCGAGCAGAAGGCAGAGGCTTAACCCACTGAGCCACCCAGGTGGCCCAGCAGAGCTCTTTAAATCATTAATTATTTACCTCCTCTCTCTACGAAACCCCATTAGATGTACAGTGTAAGCTCTGAGTACCCAAATTTGATCTTTTTTAGTCTCTGCTATATCCTTAGTTGCTAGAACAATTCCGAGAACATGGAATATGACCAATAAATACCTGTTGAAAGAACAAGTGAGGAAGATCTTAAATTAATATAGACTTGTGTGTAAGTCAATAATTTCACCTACGAAACATCAACTTCCGTCATTATCGTCAAAATTAAATTTGGCTTTACTTTTTTGGCTTACTTTCTCTTTCTTACTGCAAGTTGGGAGCATCTGAATTCTGGAATTATCAGCAATCAAGTAGTTTATCTGGACAAACCTGAGCCAGGAAATAGCTTGAGGTAGTGCTGCTGGGCTCCTGGAGGGAGCAGCAGAGCCTTGAGGAAGCAAGCCCGCCAGGGCATGAAGTGTACAGTGACCTTGAGGAAGGAGGGGCAGCTGCTGCTCCTGGGGACCCACAAGGGGAGAACTCACCAGGCAGGACAGAGTGAACTCGCATCCCAGAGAACCGATGTGCCACCACATGTGGAGGCATGAAGGCAGCCAGTGAAAGGAAACCACGCGTCTGAGAAAGTAGCTTAGTTATTAGCCAAGAATCAACACTCACTCAGTAAGACCAGAAACTAATAAAGCTGCCGGAACTGGATCGGCCAGAAGTCAGAAGGCAGGAATCAGGACTGGAGCAGGAACTGAGAGAAACCTAAACAGATGTGGAAATAGCAGGAGCCTGCCCATCGGTTTTGTCTCATTTGGATGTTTGCCCACACGGAGCTGGCTGGAAGTGTTAACCACAAAACAACAGCCTCCCCATGATCATGTCCCCCTGGCAAACCACTGGCGCTTGCTGGTGGTGTGGTAGCTAATGGGGGCTCGGTCCCAGCTGGCAAAGGTCACCCTGGGACACACGACGCTGTTGTTCCTGGGCATCCTCTCAATTCTACTTGACTATACGGTACGGACTATTTCTACTCCCAACTCAGAGTTAGAACCCACTGAGCAAAGTATAACCAAGAGCCTTCAGTGTTTCATCCTTTATCCCCCTGTCCAGTCCCCACCTTCTCATTTTCAAATCTAGAAAGTTGCTTGCTCCCTCCCTAGGCAACTTTTATTTAAAATAATTTGTTTAGGGGCGCCTGGGTGGCTCAGTGGGTTAAAGCCTCTGCCTTCGGCTCAGGTCATGATCTCAGGGTCCTGGGATTGAGCCCCGCATCGGGCTCTCCGCTCTGCGGGGAGCCTGCTTCTCCCTCTCTCTCTGCCTGCCTTTCTGCCTGCTTGTGATCTTTCTTTCTGTCAAATAAATAAATAAAATCTTTTTAAAAAAATAATAATTTGTTTAGGGGCGCCTGGGTGGCTCAGTCCGTTAAGCGTCTGCCTTCGGCTCAGGTCATGATCTCAGGGTCCTGGAATCGAGTCCCATATCAGGCTCCCTATTGAGTCCGCTTCTCCCCCTCCTTCTGCTGCTCCCCCCAAATAAATAAGTAAAATTTAAAAAAAAATAAATAATTGGTTTAAAATTTTAATTAGTTATCTTACACTGAATAATAAAGAATTATCCATTTAGGGGCGCCTGAGTGGCTCAGTGGGTTGAGCCTCTGACTTCAGCTCAGGGCACGATCCTGGAGTCTTGAAATCAAGCCCCGCGTGGGGCCCCCTGTTTAGTGGAGAGCCTGCTTTTCCCTCCACCTGCTGCTTCCCCTGCTTGTGCTCTTTCACTCTTGCTCTATCTCAAATAAATGAATAAATAAATCTTTTTAAAAAAATTATCTGTTTAACTGAAAGACCCAGTAAATATCTGGAGTGTTTTCCAGGTGACATCTTACCATACTGTTTACAAAAACACACACACCTACTCCTCAACCTCTTGACACATTGAAGTGGAGCATTGGAATTAAAATCTAATTAGAATTTAAATTAGTGAAAAAAAATCAGTACCGTGGGTTTAATACAGAAGTATAATGTAAGACATGCTTTATGATATGTAGGTGTCCTGAAAAATATGATTGAGGGGTTATTGTGGGTTTTTTAAAGATCTTTTAAAAACATATTTTAAGTAATCTCTCCACCCAACAAGGGGCTTAAACTCAGAACCCCAAGATCAAGAGTTGCATGTTCTTCTGACCAAGCCAGCCAGGCCTCCCATGCTTGGGTTTTATTTCAGATATTTTACCCATTTACAGTGACAGTACTACATAATGTTTCTTTGATCTATTTCATTAGAAAATACTCAGCCTATTGGCCTGTAAGAGGACTTTCCTAAAGATGTCATCAGTGTGACCAAGAGCTGAGTTGTTGTGGGAGGAGTTATTACTCCAAAAGCAGACAGTTAGTATACCTGCAAAACAGAGGTAGTAAAACAACAAAACGGTTTAACTTCTATGGATTAACGTATAATTTTGCAGTAAGAAAACTCTGGAAAAAAAATATTTTACTTTCATTAATAAATTTATGAGTTTGGTTTAGTATATATATATTTTTTCTTTTTTTTTTTTTACATTGAATTACATATGAAGAGGGATATAATGTCTTCAGTATTTAGGGTCTGTCAGGAAAACTTGTGAAGATACTGAAAGGAGAAGACAGATTCCGAGTATCTTACCTAGTGTGTGTTTTCGGGTTCTCTGCCTGTTACTGTCTGAATATTTCACAATGGTGCACATTGTCGACAACTTATAATAATGCAAATGATCCTTGTCCACAGAAATATGAATGAATTGTGTCCAGTGGAATGCAACTGATTATTGCCCTGTGAATTACTAACCAGTTTCACCAATTTTGCAACTGTTTGTAAACTCATTTCAACATTCCTGATGGCCTATATATGTGTGTGATACTTTGATTCTCTTTTTAACCCACGGTAACATCTTACTGATTCTATCATTCATTACTGAGTTAAATAAGACATTTGAGACATGTCAATTTTATATTTGTATGCGAGTCATGATTTATCTGTTCGAAAAATTATCTTTTTAACAGATCGTTAGTCCAAAAGTGTTGGTCTTTTTTTTTTTTTTTAAAGATTTTATTTATTTATTTATTTCACAGACAGAGAGTACAAGTAGGCAGAGAGGCAGGCAAAGAGAGGAGGAAGCAGCCTCCCTGCTGAGCAGACAGCCCGATGCGGGGCTCGATCCCAGGACCCTGGGATCATGACCTGAGTCGAAGGCAGAGGCTTTAACCCATTGAGCCACCCAGGCGCCCCCTAAAAGTGTTGGTCTTAACTTGAGAGGACAATGAAGATGGGGAGAAGGATGAGGGTGTGATAAGGTTTTTAAGAAAGGTATATGAAGTTTCTTTCTGGTCCTCTCAATTTCCAAAACCTAGATTTACTCCTAGAGTAATGACGGTGTTCACATCAAGATGGGGAAACAGTCCCTCAGAGGAAAGGAGGGCTAAGTGGAATTCCAGACAACCAGGGAAGGGCTTCAGGAGAGAAAATTTCTAATGGCACCCCAAGTTTGGTACTGCGGATGCAAATTCCTTCTTGAGGGATCCCAAACTCTCTTCCCTGAACCCCTACCTGTCCTCTTTAAGGACTGTGTGTTAGAAACCCAGGTCCGTAATAGGACTGTTGGAATCGAGAGACCAATAAGCAAGATTGCACAGCCAAAACCTTAACACACTATTCAAATAGGTTCAAATATGTACGGCTTTCCTTTTATCTCTCTTTTTCCTTTTTCTTTCCTTTTTTTTTTTTTTTTTTTTCCCAGTCAGACTGAGGCTAATTTAATCATTGCTGCAGCTACTCAAACAGAGGAAGGGGCCAAGCCCATGCTCTAGCCACCCCCAAACTCCAGATAATTGGTTAGATGTGGCGTTTTGCCTGATGGACACTGCGGTTCCAGAACAGAGAATGTCTTTCTTGGCCCAAGAACATGTATCTGGCTCTCCAGTGTGGGATGAAGAGAAGTCATAGCAGCCCCCCAAGCCCTCCAGTTATGTTTCACTGTCACCCACCCTGTTCCCTACTCTCCCTTGAGATATCTAAATACATGTGGGATGTTTATATAGAGTTGAATTTTATTTTAGTTTTGTTAATTTTTAAAAGGTTTCATTTATTTATTTTTGGCTCAAGCGCATGAGAGCGAGAGAGTGAGAGAGAACCGGGGGAGAGGGGCAGAGGGAGAAGCAGACTCCCAGCTGGGCAGGGAGCTGGATGCAGGGCTTGACCTGGGGACTCTGGGATCACAACGCAAGCCAAAGGCAGGTGCTTAACCAACTGAGCCACCCAGGTGTCCTGAGTTGAATTTTAGTTCTCTGTTTCCTTTCCAGTCTTCTATGTTTGTCTTCTCTGCCACCTTTGTCTCTTCTGCTGTTAAACTACCCTCTTTCCTACCAGCCCATCCTTACCAAGTGCTTGGATGAAACCCACAAACAATCACAAGCATTTCTGGGTGGTATTTTATGGTAACGAAGGACTAGAGCCTGGGAGTCAGGCAGACCCTGGTTTCAAATCGCAGTTCCGCTTATTACCTACCCGTGTGGCCTTGAGAAGTTAGTCAGAAGCTCCAAGCCTCAGTTTCTCCATCTGTAAAAGAGGGACAATAATAATATCTACTTGATATTATGAAATGAGGCAGTCAAGTGACACTGAGCGTCACGGACACAGTCATCTGCTACTATTGTAATTTTTTTTTCCTGCCTCCAGACTCTCGTTTCTCATTTTCCCTCGATTTCTAGTGTACTTCTATTTCCCATTGTCTTATTTGTAGGTACCATTTCACACTTTTTTCTCAGTCTACCGTAAATAAGGCACAGGACATGCTACCCCACAGGATGGCACCTCGGTATATTGAATAGTTTAAGCGGAAGGAGTTTGAGAAACAGCAGGTTCAAGAAGGACTCTCTGACCTTCCTGGTCTCCTTGAAGCAGGTCCTATGAGTCTCATGTGAGAGGCGCCCTCCACATACCCCGAGGAAAGCAAACTTACCTCCGAGGAAGGAGGTAATGGCTTGAACAAACAAGCCTTGCTGTTTCCCACACTCTACTACTCTCTGCTCATAAAGTTTTGTCCTAGCACATTTTCCATGAGTCCCCATTTTTGGTCAAACATGGTATAAAAACATTCAGACTTAACTGTTTCCTTGGGTCATTTCCTTATGAAGACTCCTATGTCATGTAAAATTTACATTAAAAAATCTGTATGCTTTTCTCTTGATACTCTGTCTTTTATGACAAGGGCCCCAGCTGAGAATTTAGAAGAGGAGAAGGAAAAGATATTTTTTTTCCTCCCCTGTAATGGCAAATCAAAGACAATGATCATACATATCACATCGTTTTCTTATTACAATTGACTTCCGTTTCTTCCTCTGTGATCTGGAGAGAAAGCCCATCAGTAAACCATTGTTGGGTTGTTCTAAGAATTATACAAGATACTTTCCATACAGCACTCTCACAAACACGGTGACTGTTCCTAAGACTGCCAGACTTTCTGTAAGAAGGGTGGCAAACACTGACCCTACAAAGTGACACATTCCAAGAGGGGCAAGGAGTCTCCGTATGCTCAGGGAAAGCAGCGTTATGGCAGGAAGCAGAGTGGCTATGGTGGGTGGACAGATCTTCTGGGAAGAAGCTAAAACTATAAAGAACATTGTGTTGAGGCTTGAACGTGTTGATTCTAGCTGTGGATCGAAGAGAACGCTAGCAATTAAGAGAAGAGAGCGTTTTGATAAGAGAAAGGGCTAAATGATCTAGTTCTAAGTGTCCAATTTTGTTTGATTATGAAGACAATATAATCTTGAGGTTATGTTTCACTTAGAAAACTGATATAAGATACAAACGTAAATGTCTCTCACAGCGCCTGGCTTATAGGAGGAGCTCAAGAATTGTGAGCTTTTATTATCTTACTTTAATTAATCTTTTTATTAAGGTGTATTATGAAATAATTCACATAACATGGCTTTGTTGAAAGGTAGCAAATTTGTAGGCTTCCAGCTCATGTAATGATCGCTGGCTGTAAGCAGGGAGCTCATTTGATATTTGTGATTAGTTTAGCTAACATTTTGGATTTATGCTTCATTCTAAGAAAACATGGGCTGAAACATACCACTGTGAGCAAAAAAATAATGGTTTCCTGCTGTTACTGTAAAGCTACATTGTGTTCATTCCTTCCTTTCCAAAGTAGGACATTCTGATCCTGTGATAATGTTCTACTGAAGGAATTTATTTATTTTGCACCAAATGATTCGTGTAGATGAGTTCATTTCTTGTGATAAAAATGAGTACAACATAGCTGGGCTTCTTGCTGTGATCTCAGTGACTTGTTATAATCCAACTGGCTAGAAAACAGAGTAATTGCCTGGCTCAGCGAGAAGAAAACCAGCTTTTCCAAAGAAATTCTTTTGGGGGATTCTCTCAAGTTTGATGAACAAGTTACTTACCGTTTGCTTGAAAAAAATGTAAATGGAAGAAATGGTCTTTCTTTAGGAAATTACTAAAGAACACTCAGTGGATTTGAGATTCCACTGCACCTGGCAAGCAGTAGATCTAATTTTTAAAAATCAAGCTTCTGTTTATTTGAGGCTGAAATAAATGAATGTGAATACTCTTTTTTTTTTTTTTTAAATGTTGTTTAAGTAATCTCTTTACCCGACATGGGGCTTGAACTTGTGACCCTGAGATCAAGAGTCACATACTCTTCTGATTGAGCCGGCCAGACACCCCAGGATGTGAATATTCTTGTAAATATGTTGTTTGTTTGGGGGGAGGAGGGGGAGAGGGAGAGGGAGAAAGAATCTGAAGCAAACTCTGCACTGAGTGCAGAGCCCGACGCAGGGCTCGATCCCACAGTCTGAAGATCATGACCTGAGCAGAAACCAAGAGTCCGCTGCTCAACTAACTGAGCCACCCACGTGCCACTGTTAATATTTTAATAAAAAGTTAAAATGGACAGATCTCTACAATCTCTACAATCATTTCCCCCCTGTGTTCTGGGAGCCACAATACCTTTCGAAGGAAATCTTTTATATAGTGGTTGGCATGTTATAATCCTTCCTATGAGAGAAGCCATTTTAATCGTGTGCTGATGTTCCCCCTTCCTTATTCAGTCTCTCAAAAAGAACAAAGCAAACTGTGGAAAAATGGCATGTTTGTACATCAAATTTCATTCCAGAGCGAGGCGTCTCTCCCAGATAAGGTAAGAAGAACTTAGTCATTTTATTGTCTTCTAAATTTCCCCCATCTTCTTGGTTAGTAGATGTAAGTTAGTAGTTAGTGTACTTCTATACACATTGTGTGTGTGTTGATAATGAGAAAATCACTCCAGAGGTGAAGGCCTTTATTTTGAATAGGGTTGATGAAATGAAAGTCTATGTGGGACAGAATGGCAATCAAACAAAGAGGTCATGTTTAACATTAGGTATCTGATCAGCTAAGAGTAAATAATTTATATCAGCTTAGTGTTTTTCATGATGTAGCCAGATATTTGATTCGACTAAGCTTTTATTTCCTTATAACACAGCAATAAAACAATAATTATATATATATAAATATCTTATTTATTTTTAGAATTTGGGAGAAAATCTCCAGCTCTCCTTAAGGGTAAGCGGTATTTTCAGATGTTACAGACAGTGTGTGCATAAGAAGGGGGACAGAGGAAAAGGGAAAGAGAGAATCCTGAGCAGACTCCCTGCTGAGCACGGAGTCTGATGTGGGGCTCGATCTCACAACCCTAAGACCACAACCTGAGCCAAAATCAAGTCGGACGCTTAACTGACTGAGCCCCCATATGTTACTTTCCTAAATGAACTCTTCTCACCACCCTGCCACCTCAGTCTCAGTCAGGGTCACTGCTCTCTACGCTTTACTTATAACCTTTAGTTTTTTTTTAATTTTTTAAATTTATTTTCAGCGTAACAGTCTTCATTGTTTTTGCACCACACCCAGTGCTGTATGCAATCCGTGCCCTCTCCAATACCCACCACTTGGTTCCTCCAACCTCCCACCCTAACCTTTAGTTTTATATTTGAATACTTATTTGATAAATGTCTCTTCTCCAGCAGGCTGTAGTTTTTGCTTGCCTTTATACCTTCAGATCCTAGCACAGGGCCCAGCAAGTAGTAGAGCTGAGTAATATTTATTACTGCCCAGAAGACGACTTAGTGACTTTCAATAGAAGGCATTTATGACCATGGCATCTCGACAATAACTAACCATAATTTTTATCTAAAAAAGGCAAAGGTGAGTTTGAGGTGAGAATTTAAGTTCTTGATTATCATCAAATTCATTAGTTCCTGTGTTCAGTTCCTCTTTTTTATTAAAGATGGTAAAAGAATGTTGAGTACTTAGGAAAACAAGCCTTACTCCTGATGTGTTAAATCCGTTTAGCCAGTTAACTAGACAAGGGCTTTTGGTGGACAATGGGTTTTTCTTCCAGGGAAAGCTGATGAAATTTTCCTCTAAAATCTTACCAAAAGCAAACTAGTTCACTATTAACCATATGGTTGTCTAATCATGTATTACTCATAATTAAAACCAGTTCACTTAACCACATGCAAAAGGAAGCAAATCCCAGGCACACCTAATTATATAATAGCATTTAACACATTATGGCAATACCTAACATTTCCCACATACTTGTTAAGTATAACACAATACTAAGCCATTTTACATGCATTTTCACGTTTAATTCTCACAACAACACTGTGAGGTACTATTATTTCCATGAGGCAAAGCGAGGTTGGGTATTTAGCAATAGTACTGAATCTCAGAGAAGACCTCTGGGTCTGACTTCAGAGATTTCCTTCTTAACTCTTGTACACAACCTCTGTAGTAATTATCTGTGGATGTGTTTATATCTCCTACTAAACTGGGAAAGCCTCAAGGACAAGGACAGTGCTTTACTCATCCTATGTGTCAAGCACAGAGCAGAGTGCAAAAATCATAACAGATGCTTGATAAAAGTTTATTGAATGAAGGAGAAAGTGCTTTTTCAGTCACCAAAACTATAGTATGTTTATGATGGTTTTCATGTTAAATATAGTTGACTATATCATGTATATGAAAAAATACACAAATCAAACAAATATTTATATAATAAAACAATTATATGTGTATACAAATATTGTACTGTTCTTATTAAATTAGTAAACAATATTTTCTGAAAAAAATTTAAAAAACAATATTTTCTGCTAAAGCATAAGAAACTGCCATTTTGTTAGGTCAAAAATGGTCGAATGGGGTGCCTGGGTGGCTCAGTGGGTTAAAGCCTCTGCCTTCGGCTCAGGTCATGATCCCAGCATCCTAGGATCGAACCCCGAATCGGGCTCTCTGCTCAGCAAGGAGCCTGCTTCCTCCTCTCTCTCTCTGCCTGCCTCTCTGACTACTTGTAATCTCTATCAAATAAATAAATAAAATCTTTAAAAAAAATGGTCAAGTAAAGTAATAGGATTTTATAGGGTATAATCTAATTAAAAAAACTATGTCAACTCTATATAATGAAGCAGAATACTCCATTACCATATTTTTTTCCTACTCAAATGAAGTTTGTCCTTATAAACCTCCAAAAAGAAAGTTTTATGAAAAATTAAGGATGACATCTCTGTAATCACTTGTTCTAACTCCAGTGATACAACTTTATATACAAATTATTTTGCACGCCCTTGAAGACAATGTGGTCTTAACGAAAATTCAACCCCAAACATATTTATTAGACTTGACTTGGCATTTTTTCTAAGCTGCCAGTTTGCATACTTCCTTTCAAAAATCCTTCTCCATGAAGTCTTCCCTTTTTTAGCAGCAACTCGGCCTTTATCCCAAGCCCTGATACACCCCCTAGTGTTCCTTAAACACTTTTGTAATGATTACATTACATGTGTTTGTGATGATCACTTTTTGTTGAATAACGAGGTCTTTGCATGCAATTATGTAAAACATTGGAAATGGCAGAGCTAAACCCAACTGATTCAGTTATTATACTAGATGACTGACTGGTTGACCATAGACAGTTCTTTAATAACTTTTTTTTTTTTGCATAAAAGGAAATGCAAAATTAGAGCTTCGGAGAGTAACCCTGGGAGCCATTTTAAGCACAAGCGAAATCTGTTTGCTTCCTCATGATTCTACGCTACTTCCACCTTCAGTTTTAAAAAGTACGCTCAAGGGGCTCTTCGCTGGCTCAGTTGGTAGGGCGAGCGACTCTTGATCTTAGGGGTGTGAGTTTGAGCCCCACGTTGGCTGTAGAGAGGACTTACAAAAAATAAAATCTTAAAATAAATAAAAGGTAAAAAAAAAAAAGTACACTCAAAAATAAAAATTCCGCTTGGGAATCTCCTGGTCCCAGTTGGGATAGCCTGACTTTGAGCCCAGCTATTTTACCGGAATGGTTGAATTCCGAAATGCTTCACACAGCTGGGCCACACTGGTAATACAGGTTTCCAGGACTTAAGGGAGAACCTTCAATGCAGAATTGAGTTAGATGTGGATTCCCAAGGACAGTAGTCAGCAGCGTTGCTGAAGATAGTGAAAAACATCAGGTGTTACCTAAATATATTCCTACTGTAACCTGGAAACTTCCCGAGTGGACAGTGGACACAAATGGGATGGTATTAAGCTTTAATTCAGGATTCACTGGGGTGTCTCCATTGACTGATGTGGAACCTACTGTGTTTGCCCACTAAATACATCACATGTGAGGAGAGTTCACCAAAGAGTATTTCCGGGGCCTCACGGAGGTGAATTGCACGTGTTTATTCCAAGCTTGCACTTCCAGGGTGCCGCAACTCCCTCGGGTGTGGGGCCAGAGCCCAGGGCCGCTTTCCCTGCCAAAGCTGGGTAGAGCTTTACATGAAATGAGGGTAGTGGGACGGAGAATTCTCTTTCATGGGTATTTTTTTCTTAGAGGGGATCCCAAATAGGGCTGCTATGTCCCGACATTTTAGTGGAAACAGCTCTTTGCTTTTCACTTGCTGTTGCTCTCATACGCCTTCTCCTCTCGAGGGTCAAAGGTCTGTGCTCTCCCTCCTAGAATGTTCTTCTGCAAGCTCCTCAGGCTGAGGAGGACTTCTGGTGGGTATACCCATCAGTTCCTCCGTGAAGGCCAAATCTAGTCATCTCACTTCGACTTACGATGGGACACGATACCCACCTCTCTCACTGTCTCACCTCCTCCGTGAACTGTTAACTTGCATGTTCCTGTACATGTCCCTCCCTCCCTTTCATGAACTCCACCTTCTGGAGGCACTCCATACCTCTAAACCTTTTTTTTTTTTTTGAAGATTTTATATGAGAGAGCAAGCGAGTGAGCATGAAATCACAAGCAGCGGGGAGGGGCAGCGTGAGAGGGAGAAGCAGACTCCCACTGAACCAGGAGCCCCATGTGGGGCTCGAGCCCAGGGACCTGAGATCATGACCTAAGCCCAAGGCAGGGGCTTAGCAACTGAGCCAGCCAGGCGCCCCACTTCTAAACCTTTTTAGTTTAGGGATGGCTCAGTCAACAGAGCAAGTGACTCTTGATCTCAGGGTCCTGAGTTTGAGCCCCAGTAAGCATAGAGAATCTTAAAAAGATAAATAAAGTTTTTTAGTTTAATAACTTCATTCTGTCCCCCAAGCTGCACAACTTTAAGCTTACCGAGGGCAGGGAATATTCCTTTAAAATTCTTGTGTCTTCTACCACCAGACCTGAGGGTTCTGTCGGGATCTGTTTGACTGAATAAGACATGTACAGGGAACTTTTCTTAGTTAATGATAAACAAGTACCCCTCTCTCCCCGACGAAATGAAAAATAGTAGACTTCCAAATAAATAACCAAAATTTCCAGCCTCCGTCTTCTTTTTTTAAGATTTTAATTTTTTTTAAAGTAATCTCTACACCCAACGTGGGACTCAAACTTACAACCCTGAAATCAAGATCTTGGGGTCATGAGATGGAGCCCTGCCACACGCTCAGTCCTCAGTGAGGAGTCTACTTGTCCCCCACCGCCACCCTTCTGCCCCATCCCCCCTTATGTGTGCACTCTCTGTCTCAAATAAATAAATAAATAAATAAAATATTTTTTAAAGATTAAAAAAAAAAAGAGTTGCATGTTCTACCAGCTGAGTCAGCTAGGCGCCTACCCCCCATCCCTGCCCCCCCATCTTCCATCTTCCACATGGAGGTGACATGGAGTAAGACAGAACAAAAGAATATTTAGACCGTTCATTAAGTCCTAACACATTTTATTTATTTGATTTGGTGAATTCCTTTATCACAAACCAAGTCTTTATTTGCGTATGTCCTGGCAAGAGCTGTGTATGCAATATTGCATACACTCGAGTTCGCATGGGCTAGTTGATTGTTGTTTTAACAATGAACAAGGACCAGTGAGGCCAAGATCAGAAGGTTGTCTCTCCCCGGGGTCAGTTCCCTGCGTGGAGAGAAACGCTTCCACAGTCAAAGCCAAACCCTATTTAACATCTGCCTCCACTCTCTAATTAATCATCTGACCAATATATTAGTTTGGCTAAAGGGATAACTGCATAATTTCTAATAAAACGTTTGTGCCTAAATCATGTATACTTTGTTCCAATTGACACTATCGTCTTTAACAATGAAGAGTGTTTTCCATCTTATTTGAGTATCAATGGAATAATCAAAACATACTATAATAATTGAAGAATATGAAAAAACATTCTGAATGAAAGAGTTGTGTCAACTAAATTTTTTAGGTACCTACTATTTGTGCGAGGTACCCATTATATATGTCACGTTGAGAAATGACTTAACCAGAGATTTAAGAAGAAAGGGAGGTGGAGTTCCTGGGTGGCTCAGTTGGTTAAGCATCAGACTCTTGATCTCAGCTCAGGTCTCAATCTCACAGTCACAAGAGTTCAAGTCCGACATTGGGCATGGAGCTTACTTTAAAAAAAAAAAAAAAGGAGGTGGGAGGAGGTGGATTGTGGTGCAGGAAGAAAACCTAGCTCATCAGCTTTATTTTGGAGAAAGGGAATCTGAGGTCCAGAGAGTTTTTTCTGCCTCAAGCAATGAAAAAAAGCTAAAAGCAGAGCTGGCATTACAATCCTTCAGTGACAGGCAAAATCAAAATAGTAATTGTAAAGATATTATTCAATCATAGATTTGAACATTGTCTGATTTAAGAGAATGCTGTTAGTAATCTTCATTTAACTAGTTATGTTTTTTCTAGCTATTAAGTTTTATACTATCAGTTTTTATTGTACTCTTGGCTTTCACTGCTTTCATTAGAAGTTTTATGAGGCAGAAACATTTACTAAAGTTAATGTCATCAAAGAAACCAGGTGAATTAGAACTGAAGAGCCCCCATGAGATCAAAGGATTTAACTTCTGTGGTTTTTATGAAACTTGAGGACTGAAGAAAAAAATAGAAATTTTCAATACGATAGAGTTTTTAAATGATAAAATTAATAGACTATTAGAGAAAGCTTAGGAAAAAAAGAAGAGATGTATCACATAAAGGGTCCAGCACACACCACTGTGGCACAAAAATTATTTTGAGAAGAAGGCAATTGAGGTCCCAAATAACTCAATTGTCATAAAGCCCTTCCTGGAAAACAATCAGGGAAGGCTGACTCCTAACCAGAGGTAATAAGTCTTCACACCACACCTAAAGAGAAAACAGTCACATCTATTCTTTTAAGGGCCCATTTATCTTTCTAAAAAGTAATTTGTTTTCCCTTAAGTGTCCTTTCTTCCCCTCCTTTATCAAGATGGTATGTAAACCCCAAATTTTGGGGTATGTAAACCCCAAAAATCTCTTTGAGTCACATTTTTCTCTGAACTCCCCTATGAATGTTAAGACAAATATGTGATTAAATTTGGTCTTTTTTCTTACTAATTTGTCTCTAATGAGTTTAATTCACAGAGCTTCGCAACTGAACCTAAGAGGATAGAGGAAAAGTTTTCTCTCTCAACATACCATCAACTCACAATCATAAAGTCACTTTTGGCTTAAAACAACTGTTTCAACTGTCATATTTTCTTCAGTTTTTTCTACTGTGTTTACTTTTTTTTTTTTAAAGATTTATTTATTTATTTTTTTTGTTTGACAGACAGAGATCACAAGTAGGTAGAGAGTCAGGCAGAGAGAGAGGAAGGGAAGCAGGCTCCCCCTTCCCCGCTGAGCAGAGAGCCCAATGTGGGGCTCAATCCCAGGAACCTGGGATCATGACCTGAGCCGAAGGCAGAGGCTTAATCCACTGAGCCACCCAGGTACCCCTCAACTGTGTTTACTTTTCACTAGTAATAATCATTGTTAATATTATAAGCACCCATTCATGATACAACATAATCCTCCAAATTATGATTTACTGATGCCTGCAAAATATTTCAATGAGATGCTATAAAGAGGTTCCTTAACTGGCCTCTTACCATTGGATATTTGCTTCAAATTTTTTCCAAATTATAAATAATTTAGAAAAAAAAATTTTAAGCATAAAGCTTTTCTCCTTTTAAAATTACTTCCAAGGGTTATCTCCGACTGCTGCGGCCTTCGAAAAGGGAACATTGACTTAAATATCCATCTCTGACAGATGACAATTAGCAGTAAAGTAACAGAAAATATGTTATAAATGAAACTCCTAAAGTCTCATGTAAAATTATAAATAAAGGCCATAAAGAAAACATAGAAGGCATTTAGCATTTAGTGTCTGAAAGATGTGCAAACATGATGAGAATTTATTCCGTAACGGGAATTACTTTAACTAGATACTTTAACCCAGAGAAAGATCCCTTGGCATCTTTGTTTTTTTTCTTCCCCCTACAAAACAAACAAAAAAATAGTGGTGGATTCATTGAGCAACAAGTCTGTGGAAGCTTGGACTAAAAAGAGTCAGTGAAAACGGGCCAATGTGAAAGAATAATTGCTGGTGAAAGTTATCAACTTTTCATTTGGTTTTCATTAGTTTTCACTTGGAGGTAAGGATCAGCTATTAGACAGAAAGCAATTGGTGCTCACAGTTATCTGCCTCCCAAAAGAACAATCAAGTTCAAGGAACCTTTTCTCCCGGTGATTTCCCTGCATTTAGCCATTTGTCCTTCATTAGGGGAGCCCAGGTACCAATTATTCTCACAGGCAATTGATTATGAGATTTCAAAAATGTAGCAGCAACAAAGAAATGTTTGCTTTGACGAACCACAAGCCATTCATCTTTAAAAGAGGGGAAAAAACCAACCAAACCACATTACAGCTCCATTTAGAACTTTGCCCCTACCTTGTCATCTAAGGAGGGCAAAATCAATTTTCATTTGAGAGCACCATTTCCTCCTACTAGTTTTCTCTAAGTGGCCTTTCCACAAATGATGTTTGATTATTTCTGAGTCACAACTACTTAAAATCCACATTTATGAGCTGTAATTTCCTAGGTAAAAGCCGAGGGAATTACTGAAAGTTCTTTGTGCCCTCCCCCCAGCCCTCCCCCCAGCAACATCCTCATGTTCTCTCTTTCCGCGTTGGAGGCTTTAATCGGCAGCTGTAGCAAGCCCGGTTGTGACCTTCCCTAAACACTCTGACAGGACCAAAAATAGGAATCTGCACACAGAAGCTTTTCCTAAACTATCAGGAGTCCTTTTCCTCATTTGCCAGCTGGTAGTTTGTCAAAATGCTGTTTTGTAAATAAATCATCTGCAGAAAATCCTCATCAGGTCAGCTGCAAATGTGTCAGTTGGAGGAAAACAAACAAGAAAGCACTTACCAGTTAATTTACTTTGAAGAGAGAAGCTATTCTGATGCCTGGGTGTGACCTCCCGGCTCCAGAATGAAATGGAGGGTGGTTTTCAGAACCGCTACGTTGGACACTCTTTCCCAGCCTCCTCATTTGGCTTTTATCTGGCTTTTGAAATGACACTGTAGAAGGAAAGGGATGTTGGGTTTCATTTGAATGTGGTTCTTCCCCTCCTCCACCATCCTCCATAAAAATTCATCATGTATTCCAGGGGAAAAGTAAGCAATGAACATACTGCACAAATTAATTCTTTTGCTCAGCGTGTTTGTGTGTATAACTGAGGTTTGTTTTTTGAATGGAAATCATTGCTATTGGCTGCGGTGCCGCAGTCTGAAAAGTGATGGGGGGGGGGGCACCGATCCTTCCTTTGTTTGGTGGGCTTTTTGCTTATGAAAAGTCAAGTTAAATGTCTTTCCAATGAGGGAATGAAAAGAACCTTAGAATGTCAAAGGACAGCTCTTCAATTGCACAGCAAATTCTGTAGGGCTCATTAGGAGAGAGATTTCACTCACTGGGTTTTGGGGTGTTTCTGAGAGTGAAGAATTGTAATCACACGTTAATTACGTCTTTTAGTTTTCATTTCTTTGCCTAGGTAGGTTGAGAGAGAACTCTCTGGGATCCGAGGCAATTAAAGGATTGATTTTTTTTTTTTAATCCCTCATCTTCTCCTGGGGTTCTGGCAGATGTGAGCACATCTGTGTATCTGAAACAGGGCTCAGAATTCAGAAATTCACAGGATGAGAAACATGGAGGCTGAAGGTAAGCAAGCCTTGATGTGGTTAGCTTCTCGCTGCAGAGCTAACTTGATTTTTGTACGCTCTAACATCAGCTCGATCATGTGATATTGGAAATTGAACATTATTAGGTCATAAAACATGGTTAGGCCGGCTAATTGAACATCGTTAGGTGAGCTGGCAGAGAAGCACACAGTTTCGTATTTGACTGGAGGGTAGTCGAATATGCCAGCCCAAAATACACCTGTTCGGCATAACGATTATTTTGAGCTGATTATTTTTAAGACACAGAACGAGCTCCGAAAACAGAATGCAAGTTGCCCTTTTGTGAGGGAAATCTATATTTATAAGGGAAATTAACATTAGAAAGGGGGCCTGTTACCAGAAAGAGAGCTATTACCAGAGATGACTTTTTTACCTGAGAGACTGGTCTGCTCGGCAAGACAACCTTTGTTTACCAAACATTTCCTCTTCTCACCTTCCCGAGAATTGGTTTCCGGTAAATGGCCTTCTCCTGCTTCCAGCCCCAGACCCCTAGCCCGTTCCTTAGGTCTGGATGGTACGTAAGCCTCCATCTTCTGGGCTTTTCAGTCTCCTATTCTACTGGGGCTCCCTTATGTATGTAATTAATTAAAATAGGTTTTTTTTCCTCCTCCTGTTAATCTTTTGTTGTTGTTGTTTAACAGGAGGGGGTCTTAGCCAAGAACAGTGAAAGGTAGAGGGAAAATTATTTTTCCTCCCCTACACAACCAAATCTAGAAAATCTAAATCATTGCGTGGGGGTGGAGTGGGCTGGAGGGGAGCATAGAAGAGTAACTCTGGGGGGTCGTGTGCCCACACCTTTTCAAAATACAATATCTCTCAGCCTCCACTCCTTGATTCCACAGAAAATAAACCATAATTAACAATCTTCTCATATTTCTTCTCAGTATTATCTGAGCACAGAGATGGTCCTTGAAAGAGGTAGTAGGACGCTCTGTGGGAGACTCCTGTCTGGTCACCAGTTCCTACACCTCTGTATCAGCTGTATTAGGATTTGTTAATAATGATATAGTAATCGTCTGTAATCACACCAAAGCACGATTTCATCCACAAAAGACATTTTGAGGAGAATTTCAGGAAGTTTGGGTTACCCACATAGTTCTGACTTATTTTTCGGTGGTAGAGAGGGAAGCATTGAGTAGCAAGGGAGAGAGAAAGAAAACGAGAGGAAGGACGGCAAACATTTACTGCGTACCGAGTGTAGTTTAAGCACTGAAACTGAGGGAAGTGTGAGCATTTTTTAAAAAGAGATTTTATTTTGGGGGCGCCTGGGTAGCTCAGTCAGGTAGACATCTGCCTCCCACTGGGGTCATGAGCCTCGCATGGGGCTCCCTGCTGGGTGGGGAGCCCGCTTCTCCCTCTCCCACTGCTGCTCCCCCTTCTTGTGCTCACTCGCTGTTTCTCTCCCATGCTCTCTGCCTCACTCAAATCAATAAATAAAATCTTAAAAAAAAAAAAGATTTTATTTAAAATAATCTCTACCCAACATGGGGCTCCAGCTCACAACGGAGATCAGGAGTTGCACACTCCACTGACTGAGCCAGCCAGGTGTCCCAGTGTAACCATTTTTATTTTAATGTTTTGGTTAGCACCCAAAATAACAGAATTGAAACATATCCTTACTTATCTTTGACACTGGTCCCCCCAAACTCAGGAACAATAGATACAAATCTCTCAGCTAATGAACCCTATAGCTTGCTGTGCATTTGAAGGCCTCCCCTTGAACACTGTAAGGTGTGCCTTACAGTTGATCCGTCATTCAAAAGTTGTTGCAGCTGCAAAGCTCAGAGGTAGGAGAGATAACTTACTTGCCATCCCGGGCGTACAATAGCGCAGTGGACATCAGCCAAGACCCTGGGAGTGTTGGTTAAGCGGGTGAGTTAGTTCACTGGAGACGGGTCAAGAGAACCTCTCCTGTAAGTTGTTCAGTCCTGGGCATTCTGAACAGAGACTTGACCCCGGGGTGGGGGTGGGGGGGAGCATTTGGCTGGTTCCATCAATAGAGCACGTGACTCTTGATGTCAGGGTCGTGAGTTCAAGCCCACGTTGGGCGTGGAGCCTATTGAATTAAAAAAAAAAAGAGAGAGAGAGAGAGACATAAGCATTAGACTATCTGTCTCTATGAGAAGAGATGTTTTCAGAATTGAGTGAATGGGAGGAAGGGGCAAGAATAACTTCTGCCAGATTCTAGGATTTCGGGATAGTTCCACCACTCTCCAAATCATTGCAAATTCTCTGAGGCCTGTTGGGGTCAGGATTTCAAGGGGTCCTATGTGTAAACAGGTTTGTAGGACAAACGAGCCCAGAGGAGAAGGTATACAGTGCTTCTATCCTATTGTTTTGGGTAACAGTATGTCTCTCTCTAAAAATAGCTTTTCGGGTGCCTGGGTGGGGTGTCTGGCTCCCTGCTTAGAGGGGAGTCTGCTTCTCCCCTGGGCCCTCCTTCCCACTCATGTATGCACTCTCTCTCTCTCTATCAAATAAATAAAATCTTAAAAAATAAAATAAAAGGAACTTTTCTTCACGGATGCTTGGAATTTCACTGTTAGAGAGTTGTTCTTTGGAAGAGACTACATTTTAAAGGAAAAGATTTGGGGCTCCTGGGTGGCTCAGGTCATGTTCTTCTGAGCCCCAAGTTGGGCTCCCTGTGTGGAGGACAGTCTGCTTCTCCCTCTCCCAGTGCCCCTCCCCACTCACAGCTCATGCACTCTCTCACTCACTCTCAAATAAATAAATAAAATCTTTTTTAAAAATTTAAAAAAGAAAAGAAAAGCTTTGTATGAATCTAGTGAAACTCTAATAGTTAGAATGGATCCAACAGTTTTAAGATAGTCATCCCCTCTTCCCATCCCAACCCCACCAGAAAAAACAAAATGGGGTCAGCAGCTCGGCCTCCCCTCTTTTTATATGATTAAGATCATTCTTCTTCTTTCTCGTTTCTTGTTAAAATAGCCTATTCTCCCCAAACACTTGAATACTCCTGATGATAGAACTTTTAGAAATAGATATTTGGGAAAATACAGTCCAGTCACATGGATTTTTGTTAATGATCATCCTTTCTAATCTTTTTATTGTCACTTGTTTAGTTAAAAGAAAAAAGAAAAAGAAGAATGCAGCCTCGAACGCTGGAAAAGAGATAACGTACAAGCAGACATTTTCTTATTCAAGAAGCGGGTGTGTGAACAATGGGAAAACTTCACTTCTTTTCATTTTTCCCCCACTCTTGTCATACAGGGAGAAGAAGCTCGCTTTGTGTAAGGCCCTTCCGAGGCCGGTCTCTTCAGGGTCAGAGATTAAACTTTGGCGCCTTTATTGGGTTGAACAGTGCGGCTGGAACCATGCAAAGATTTTCCTAGACACTGAAACGGACTCTGGGGCGCAGACCAGGCTCTGGGAGGTCGCATGAGGGGCAGGCTAACCAGCCTGGACAGGGCGGCTTGCCTGCCACTTAACGCAGACCATTCTGAAAGGCCATTGAGGACAAAGTCCGTCTCCAAATTCTTGCTTTTAATTCTGTATGGCCCCTGCAAGGAATGGAGCCTTGAGGATGCTCAGGAAGTCTGTTAGAGGATTTAGCTATACATCTTTTTAATTAAAATACACAAAGCTCTAATTACCTGCGGAAATGTGGGGACCGGCCTCTATTGTTATCTCTAATTTGAATGAATCTTCTCTTTTAATATGGCAAATGCCACATCAAATGAGAGCTCATCAGAAGGATTTAGACCGGTTTTCTTAACTACAAATCTCAGAGGCTCCGGGCCTGAAAGCTTTTGGAGGGCAGAGCAAACACCTCTCCAAAGGTTCCTGTGCCTGCAGCTGCAGGGAGGCAAGGGGGCCTACAGGGCTCTGTTCTCTCCATCATCTTTACGGTTAATAATTTCTGGGACAGAACTGCTCGCAGCTCCCCTAATTCTTGGAAGAAGTATTTCCTCTTTTTGTAACCAAGGGAAGTAAATAACCTTTTAACTTACTGCCCTGGAAAAAGAAATGTGGTTTGCCAGTGGTTAAATAAATCTGCTGTATATCACTTAGTCAACAGGCATCTGGGTGACACCATGCTTGGTCCTCATTCAAGAGAAAGGACTGCCCTGGGAATTCAAGCCCCTCCCGGCTATCTACTCTAATGACGCTACTTTGCTCATTAAACTGCTGATTATGGGTATGATGTAAGTGCATCTGTATTTTTCTAAAATGTCACATTTTGGGAAAGGAAAAGGATCAGAGAATAAAGCCTATTTTCTCGACTTCTGTAACTGGTTCAATCACTATTTGCATTTTTCATTAGGAAATTGGTAGCCTAGGGGCGTACTGCAGCTGGAGACGTGTTTTGTTTGCGCTGCACAGTGTTTTCTAGAGTTTGAATTAATTTCCATCATTTAAAAATCAGGAGATCTCACACAGCCATCCTGATTATCATCTCATAAAAAAAAAAAAAAAAATGCCCGA